AACACATTAAGCCTCACTTTGAATTCAAAAGCTTTAATGTTATTTTTTTGGATAAGCAGTTTGAATTTTTTAAAAAAAAAAATTGAAGTTCAAATCACACTTGAAACATTGCATTTTTTTTCTTACTATAAACTGGATTTTTTGGGGGGGAGCAAATTACCATTTCTAAATTAAATACACTCACATTCAACTGTATGAAAATATTTCCTATTTTGTTTGACACTTCTTTGACACTTTTTTTACAAATATGGAGTTCTTTGGTAAAAATTATTCAATTATATTTACGTATAGAATACGTATATTCTAAGATGCCAGGACTAGAAAGAGAATTTCTATGGGTAGCCTAGATCACTGACAAAATGAGATATCACCTATTTGCCATGGCTAGCTGTTTGCGGTGGTAATCCACTACAAAGGTAGCCAGTTATGGAAAGTGATTGCAATGCATATTTTGACAGTTGTAACTATGAATGAGGGCCGGTTGTGGTGTAGGTCAGACTAAGACTCAGGAGACCTGGGTTCAAATCCCACTTTGTTATGTAAACTCACTGACAGGTGTCAATGTTAAATTACTCATTGAACATTTTATATAACCCAGAAAACCCAATTTGGATTGCCATAAGTCAAAAGCAACTAGGTAACACCTAACTAAAACAGCTAGGAACAAGCTGTAGTATAGCTGGAAGAGTATATGTACTGTAAGTGATGTGTAAGTGATATTGCTAAAAGCTAACACGTTCCAAGTCGCAGGTGCATCCTAGTTAAGTAACATGCAGTGCCTTTCTATGCATTTTTATTCAGATTTCCAAGGGTCCAATACAGAGATTGCTTACAAACATGTATCTAGACTTTGCTGTATTGGACACATCAGGTTCATGGAACCTATTGCTATTCTGGTAGGAGTATAAAAGGTAAAGGTTCCCCTTGACAATTTTTATCCAGTTGTGTTGGACTCTAAGGGGCGGAGCTCATCCCCGTTTCCAAGCCATAGAGCCAGCATTTGTCCGAAAACAATCTCCCATGGTCACATGGCCAGTGCGACCACTGGTCCCTATTAATCTACTCGCATTTGCATGCTTTCGAACCACTAGGTTGGCGGGAGCTGGGACAAGTGACAGGCGCTCACTCCGTCACGTGGATTCAATCTTACGACTGCTTGGTCTTCTGACCCTGCAGCATAGGCTTCTGCGGTTTAGCCCACAGCGCCACCACGTCTCTTCCGCATCTCGCTTGGCCTGCCTGTGGGACCTGTTATCAATTTCGAACCACTAGGTTGACGGGAGCTGGGACAAATGACGGGCGCTCACTCCGTCACGTTAGGAGATATAGGGTAGGAGTATAGAGAGAAAGGAGATATAGGGTAGGAGCATAGATAGATTTAAAATAGGTATGAGTACTGTATAGGCCATCAGACATCTCAGTACCAGGTGACCAAAATACTGTGAGAGGGTCTGTGCTTTTTTTTTACTCCACCCTTTCCACTATGTTATCACTCAGTTCCATCATCTTCCCTCTCTGTCTCATTCCTACTCATTTCACCCAAAGTGAGACATGTATTGCACACATAAATGGCTTGTGACTGAGGCAGAATATGCCGCACACACACCTCATTTTTTAGGAAAGGCCGCCCTGCCCTCATCCTCGTGGCCACTCTGTTCCATGCATTGATGGGTAAATATTTTCAGCAAGCACCCAGTTCTTGTGTCACTTCCCATGCAGTTTAAAACCACGTGTGATCAAGTTTCTAAATCTCATGGAAAGCCTATATGGACAGAACAGAGGCTGCTCCTCCCATTCTACAGAGAATGAGGGAGGCAAGTGATGGGAAGTTAGTTTGCAGTTAGTTAGAACTATACAATTAAAACATAAAGTGAATAAAAACAGAAAATGTGTGAAACACAATTTTAAAAATATCTATAAAAGAGAAGAAAACACAGCATCCAGTCAGGTAACAGCAAGTAAAGTCAATTTCCAAGAGCCCACCAGAATGGAAATGTCTTTACCTACCAACAGGAGGACAACAGGGAGGGAATTTGCCTAGACGTCTTCATTAGGGAGTTCCAGAGTCTGGAATTGTCTAGTAAGAAAGCCCACTTTTGCATCCTCACTAGACATGTCGACGATCATAATTGTTGGATGGCTTTTGGTTGGATTGGAATGAATTTGTTTTAAACACTGGGCATTTCTTTAAAATGTTTGTGTATGGGTTTTTTTTTCCTGAAAGCCACAGCTAACAAAATATGTCAGACATTCAAAATGTGTCATTCAGTGTCAATAGCAACAAAGCAATTCAGATCACCTATAAAAATCTGTAGTAAAGTACTGTATTTATTTATAGTGCTTTTCTGCAGCACCATCTCATGATTATCTTAACAGAGTCAGATTCTGAAAATGGTTGGGCATTTGGTTCCATACTGTGCATCCCAGAGGAGCCAGACTGTGTGGCCTTAAGCAAGCTGCACAGTCCAAGGATGCCCCCTGAAGAAGGAAATGGTAAACCACTTCTAAGTACTCTCTACTTGAGAAACCCTGAAAAGGGTCACCATAAATCAGAATTGAATTGATGTCATACAGTTGTTATTGTGCAACAAGGTTATGCAGCCTTTCAGACTGGCTGCATGTACCAGCATCTAAACAGGCACATATGGCAGCATGCAATAAATAGCACAGCCATCATGACGTACTCCGCAAGCCACAAAAACATCAGGGATTTCCCTGGTCATTGTGATAGATGGTGGAGAAAAACCTGACAGTGAAATGGCAAGGCCCAATGACCTCTCTGTCATTATTTCACCCTTATTTTCATTCAGGTGAATTTTTATTCCAAGGTCATTAATTTTCTAGGTTCTACTCAGATACAGCTTTATCTGGAGATCAAGATAATATTTCATCTTCCCTGCTATCTCTCAATGCAAGCAAGTATGAAAAATGGACAGAGTTGTTCATATCCAAGTACTGTGAGCTGCCAGTAGTTTCCCACCCCCAGGTTCATGACCTTAAGTCATAAATCAAGCCTTTGGAAACTTTTAATCAATTTCGAAAACATGGATTTTTAAAACAGAGTGAATTAAAAATATATAGTAACAGAAATATAGTCGCAGAAAGAATGGTGGCATTGTCAGGCTTAAGAAATTAATTCTCATTCCAGATTAAAATACCTATGATTCATTAACCAGAATTCTTTTGCACATGTTATGCTGTGCAGCTCTTATGATGTCAACAGCTGAAGCTCAGCTGGAGCGGGAATTAAAAGTTTCATATCCTTGCCTGTCCCCATGTCCTAGGAAGCCTTTGGAGCTATGGGATAGGGTAGGGAATGATTTAAAGCCAGAAAATTGCCGTCACCAATCTCGATCCCTTTAAGGTGACTTTTAAGTTGTGTTATGTAGCAGCACTAGCTGGATTCCGGCCATTAAATCATAGGTGGAAAGAAATAAAGAAATGTATAGGAGATTTAGCCCTTAAACAACCATTTATGGTCTAAATTTAAATTAACAATTATTTGTCTTAAATACTGTTGTTAGTATTTAAAACAAGTGGCAAGTAGAATTAAGATAAAAGTTACATCAAAAAAGATTTTCAGTTGAATCAAGGCTGTTCTACCCAGTTATCTAGCATTAAGCCACATGGAACTCTGCAGACATTCTGAATATACATGTCTAGTTTTGTACTGTTAAGACGTATTCACCAAAATTAATCTGGATACTTGAAGGACCGCCTCCTTCCATATGAGCCTACCCGGCAGTTAAGATCTAGCCAGGGGCCCCTTTTGAAAGAGCCATCCCTCAAGGAGATAAGAGGGATGGCTTGTAGACAAACGGCCTTCTCGGCAGCTGCCCCCAGACTATGGAATGCCCTCCCGACTGAAATTCATCTGGCGCTGACGTTGATGACATTTCGGCGCCAGGTCAAAACCTTCCTGTTTCAGAAGGCTTTTAATTGAAATAACATCAACTGTGGGTCCTGATGATGGCAATTGTAATTGTATTTTAATTGTATTTTAATCTTTTTATCTTTTATTGTATTGATCTGTAATTGTTGTGAGCCACCCAGAGACCTCTGAGTAGATTGGGCGGCATAGAAATTAAATAAATAAATAAATAAATAATTCTTAGTGTAGGTTGAAGACTAACCAATCATTTTAGACAAAAACCACAAATAGATGATTCAGAAAATAAAACCACAAACCCACCTCAGTTGATCAAGAGAAAGCCAAACTGGTATCCGTTCCTGGGGCCAGTTTACGACAACATCTGAAATTAGTACAACTTGCCCACTTAAAATTTAAGGATCATAAACATTACCCAGGGATTGGGCATCAGTTATGTTTCCATTTATAGCTGTGACATGGGCATTGCTGACATCTTGGAATGGATACATCTTGAATATGATTTTCAATCACAGTTGCTGAAAGAGTTGTCAGAGCAAGTGTGCAGATTAAGTGAGGTGACCTTTCATTTCCCATAGTGGCGGCAGTAATTCTGTCAAGGATTAAAGCAGCATACAGTTCATTTCAAAGCATGAACCATGTATCTCTGACTTCCGTTTTAGTTTTTGAGCACATCCAAAGCTACAGTTGCCAAGCACAGTCCTTCTCTAAGGACTTCAATATGGTTGAAGTCTCTCCCAGAAAAGACAGTTTATTTGGAGGGAGCTTTGGCTAATCTCAAACTCTGAAGATGTGTTGCAAATCCAGACAGCTTTGGTGTCCATCCCCCGCACCTGCCTTGAACATGAGGGAAAGGGGGAAATAATCTAAAACTAGAACCTTTGGTGCACATCTCTCCAGCTTCATTCTCATCCTTGTGCTACAAGGCATGTTCACAAACCTGCATCTAGCATGTGGCTACGAAAAATTCACAGCTACATCAAGCCAACTTCATTGATTGTTTGATACAGTCATCTGCAAAATGACTTTGAGACTTTGCTGCATATAAGATTTTAACATTGTTCCTTTCCTTCCTCCCCCACCCTTTCTTTTTATATTTCTCTTTATCTAGCACTCCTTCTGACTCAAGGTGAGTCTTTTTTATTCCCCTTCATTGTGTAATGTTTGTTCTGTTCTCTTTACTGTGAGCTAGATTTTTAATTTGTTTTCTTTTATTTGGAAATGCTTGATCTTTTGTGCACTGTACATAGAGCCTGGGAATGTTGCCTTTACTTTCACTTTTTTATTTTTCTTCTGTTTTTGAACTACAAAAAAAAAAAATCCCCAAAGTAACATTTCCAAGCACTGGCTGTACTACTAACATCAGTAGTTGCCTACCAAGAATATATAAATCCACATACACTGTACTTTCCGTTCTGCTCCTCCCACGAGCCCAGCTCCGTCATTATTTCTTATCTGGGTGCAAGAGGAGAGAGGAGGCATGTCCAAGGATGCAAGAGGACCCAGAATCTTTGCATGTGCCTTTTATCCCTTCAAATCCTCAGGGCTCCGGTGCTGAACAGAATGATCAGAAGTATAATAACAGGTTTTATCATCTAGTGACACTCCTTTAGTATTAAGAGTTGGCACTTTTGAGGACTTGGCGTACAGACACAGGAGGGGAATTCCCAAAAGCTCTGTGCAAAATTGTACAAGGAGGGCTTGAAGCGTCTTTAAAATAAAGTTGTCTATCAGGTACATAGGAAACTGTCTTAAACCTGTGCACCTTGGATATCAACAATATGCAGCCTCCAGATCTTGCTGGACCATAGCTCCCAGCAATCCTCACCATAGACCTCATTGACTAGAACTGATGGGAGCAGCAGTAAAACAATTTATAGGTCATTTGTAAATCTTGAAGGCTCACACTTTGCATATGTCTGATGTAGCCAACATTGTCAACTCAGTAACAATGACTCTCCAGGGTTTCTTTCCTGGCCCTGTCCGGAGATCCCTGGTATTTAAGTACTAGCCACACCTGACCCTGCTTAGCTTCTGGAAGCAGGTAACATTGAATGCATTCAAGGCGAGCTGGTGGTATCAAGCTAGTCCTTGTTCCTTTAGCCTACTTTTGGACCTTAATACATCACAGACAGAGGTCACATTTTCCACGTTCACTTGAACATTTGTAGAAGCACCTGCTCAACTGGAAAACCTTGCTTTCTGTGTTCCTTACACAGGGTACCTTTCAGGCTTCCTTAGTCAAGAGAGGAGATAGGGACTTCAAGGGAATGAACTGAAGACATTAAGCCATTATTTTCTTACATGTGTTTTTATATCCTATCCAGGCACTGTGCTTGAACAGGGATATATTCCTGGCTTTATCACAGTGTCATTTTACCAGAGAACATGTAGGCATGGGGGAATCTGCAAAGCCTTTTCTCATGCTGGCATTGGTAGAACTTTGTAAGGGCAAAAGTCAAAGTATTTCGCTATCAAAGCCATTAACAGTATCCATCCACAAGGCGGGACCACTCAGTACCCCCTTCACAGATCAGCTGACAGAGTCTCCAGTTATGTGAAGGAATCATGCTTTGTAAACAGAAAGTCCCAGCTTCAGACCCTCACAAATCCACTTAAAGAGCAAGGTAGGAGGCAACATCAAAGTGCCTTATGTGTCCAGGACCTTGAAGAGATGCTGCCTTAGGAAGCAGTGGGTGAGATGGGCAAACTGTCTAATCTGGTGAGGCATATTTTAGAAGGAAACGTAGCTTGGGGGTGGGGGGAGGAATTCTCCACTTGCAAGAGAGTAGATGTTTTTGAGCTCTTAAAAAAAATTCAAATTGGACAAAGGAGAATGTTTGGATGGCTTTGTTTCTTGTGCCCACCTTTTCAGAGCTTGGGAAAGTTATCTTTCAAACTACAGGTTGCAGAATCTGCCATGCTTGGGGGGGAATAAAAGGTCTAAAAAGATCATCTTTCCAGGATTTGCTGTTCCTTTGCCCTCAGTCAGAAATGGAAGCACCAGAGGTTCCCTGGTCCAGGATGACTCACTTAAATGGACTCAGTATGAGGCTGAAATATGTGTTTCTGCCTGAAGATTCAATTCTGGATTCAGCGAGAATGAACACACAAATGTTTACCATTGGTGAGAGGCATAGGGAAGAACCTGTTGGAGGTTGATGGCTACCTGCCATCATGATGTGAAGAAGGTTCACACTTCTCTCAGTTTACTGGGAAGCATTAGTGTGAGTCAAACAGGATGTAAACAACCCTCTTAGAAAGCAATAATTGCTACTGTTGCTTTCTGTGTCTTTGCCTCCCAACATGCTGCTGCTCTTCAGCTCTCTTTTTCTCATTCTTTTGCTCCATCTGTGTGTAATTTGAGTGGCCCTTTCTATTAACCTTTGACATTCTTTCCAATGCAATATTATACTATCAGTTGGACTTTCCTGTCCTGCCACCAGTCCTCTTGGATTGGCTGCACACTTGTTTCTCATTGAGCTTCACTTTAAAAAAATATTAGCTGAGCAATACTAAAAATCTGTCACACAAGATGGACATGGAGACGGATGCTTTTGTATTCAGATATACTTGCACCACCATCACCTGGCGCTTTCCTGAAAGAGCACATACCTGTCAGGCTACGTATCTCAGAAATGATATAGCTTCTCTGATGTGATAGAAGCATCTCCATGGACCAACTGGGAAGTCCCTTGCAAACCGCCATCAAATTGTCTGAGAAGGCTTTGTCATAGAAAGACACTTGAAACAAAGCTGAGCTCAGCATCCAGAGGTTATGAAGACAGTGAGTCAATGGGCAGATGCCAGTATTCAGCGAGGTGCACCACTTCGATTCCCATGTACAGTAACCAACTGCATTGGCAATACTAATGATGGGATAGCACTTTGCCACTGCATCTGGGGGCAGCAAGGCAACACAGAGGGTGCAGGACAAACTGCATTTTCTCTAACAGCCATACAATCCTGTCCACACCCGGAAGCTATGAACTGAATCTCCTAATGATAGGGTTATATGATAGAGGGAACATTGTCCTGTTTTAACACTAGCAGACAGTTTTTGATGTTTTTGTGGTGCTTCAGAAAGCAGCAAAAATTTGTAAGGAACAAGAGCAAGCAGCAGAAGCAACCGACAGAAAAGTACCTGTAAAAGTACCACTTGCACAAGCAAGGATGTGCCTATGGGGCAACAAAGGCCATGTTCACACCAGGGAAATGTTACCAACTTCTAACAATTCTTTCCATACCTTTGTTGTAAGGCATCATAGTCATGTGGTATATATACCTCCTGCTTGAATGTCCCAACGTGCTTTAACGTTACCAATTCATTTTCTTCCACTTGAATTGTTATGATCAGCAACACCATGTTACTGCGTTATTTACTCTCTTGTTTATGGGACACTGCGGCTCCTTAACTTTAATTTTTTAAAAATTAAATGATACATCGATATGTCGAGTAGTGTTCCCTGATGGGTGAAATTTTCTCTGTTGCGCAGGCACCTCTGGAAGCAATGCATTGCACTCAATGGACCTGGCACCCCTCACCTGGGACTGTCACTTGCCAGTGGGTGGAGTTTTGCAACACCTACAAATGCCTTTAAAGCTGTTGCCCATACGTTTGCCAGCATATCAACACTCCAGCTGTGGAATTTTTTAAAATATAGACTATATATGTATGTTGAAGGGCAGCCATGTGGCAGTAATGCTGGCCACTTTCCCCAGTGAATTTGCTTCAAAAAAGTATTGAAAGGATTGTACACCCATGCCACGTTCCATGCTGCTAAGGAATACATCAAAAGGCCACAGGAACAACAAAAAAAACAGAAGCCTCCTGGTGAGGGGGAATTGAACCACAGTTATATTGCTAGCCAGTAAAATGAATCACTTATAGTTGTGCATCGAGTGACCACATGTTTATGCTACAATCTAACTTTGGCATAAGTAGGGAACAATTCCATCATGTGATTGAGCCCAGAGAGGGAGATGGGCAGGTAGCAGGAGGTCAAAGGTGTTTATCTTTTCTTGCCATCTGATCTTTCCTATCCTTTTCTCAGGTCTAATTTCACTTCTGCTAACCCTTTTCTTCAGCTGTCTTTGTCTTAATCATGGGGCTGTCACGAGCACATCCAGTTCTTCTCTAACCATCAGATTTTCTCTTCAAATATTTTCTTCCCAAATATTTTCTCATCACCGATTCCAGACATACAGCTTCCACGTAAAGGCAGTGTTAGACAACAATACTCCCATCACACCACCATCAGACTTCTCAAAAGTTATTCTCAGCATCTGGCCTTAGGTTATACAGGCACCTTTTATGTTGCAAAAAAAAAGACTTCCTATAAACAACAAGACAAGACTCTCTGAACAAAACAGTAAAGTGTGGAAGTAGGAAAAGAGGGAGACCAAACATGAGACGGATGGAAGGGAGTCATGGTCTTCAGCTGGCAAGACCTCAGCAGGGTTGTTGATGATAGATACTTTTGGAGCTCATTAATTCATAGGACTGCTGTTAACAACAACTAATGGCACCAACAGTGTTGCAGATCATAATTTATAAATAATTCTGTTGCGTTTGAATTGCTCCACTTGTTATTTGAGAGCCTGGGAGTTGCTTTGGACACATTAAGTTTAAAAAGTAGGATAGAAGCAAATAGCTGAATGAGGAGTATATGCAGGAACACATGTTCAGAAGCATTGTCTGCAGCAGGAGATACAAAGAGTAACCGGTGTACCAGATGACCTTTTTTTTTCTTTGAACAGGGAGCATCTGCCTCAGAACAGCAAAATAGCTACCACAGCATGGAAATTAATTATTTCATAACTTAGCGGACCACTGGTGAAACCACAGTGGGACCAATGGTATAATGAGCCAACAACTCACTAGCCACTGAAAATCTCACATTTTTTTGCTTCCTTAAGAAATACGTATATTAATTTGTACACAAAGGCACATAGATTGAGTCATTTTAAGAATAGAACACATTTTTGCACGTTTTTTATAAATGTAAATTTCACTCCCAGCAAGCCTACTAGCATGATAAGGATTGAAAAAGCAAATGTCAATGTGTTCAGAATTCAAGAAATGAAGTTGATTGGTGTCTCCCTGTGCAAACAGAAGGGATGAAAAAT